GAGAGAACAAAAGAAACTCTTAAGAAGCAAGAAGAAGAATGGAAAAATAACGGGCGTTCTATTATGACCGATGCTTGGAGTGATAGCAAAAGAAGAATTATCACGAATTTGTGTGTGAATTGTAAATTGGGAACCACATTTCTTTCTTCAAAGGAAACTAATGATGATGCTCACACCGGTGAATACATCTTTGAATATGTCAATGAATGTATTAAAGAGGTTGAAGAGGAAAATGTGGTTCAAATTGTAACCGACAATGCTTCCAATAACATGGCCGCCGCGAATTTGTTATCAATGTAAAGGCCTAACATCTTTTGGACATCTTGTGCTACTCATACCTTTAACCTTATGCTCGAGGGAATCTCTAAACTTCCTAGCTTCAAAGGAGTGATTAGGAAGGCAAAATCATTTACTATTTTCATCTATGCACATCATAAGACTTTGGCACTAACGAGGAAGTTTACAAAAAGGGAGATAGTTCGGCCGAGACTCACTAGATTTGCTACATTTTTCTTAACATTACAAAGTTTGCTCGATAAAAAACAAGAGTTGAGAAATATGATGACTAGCAATGAATGGGATAATACGAAATGGTCAAAGAGCAAAAAGGGAAAAGAGGCCTTAGATATTGTTGTTCCCAATGATTTTTGGATCTTGATAGACTTGTGTTTGAGAGTGTTTACTCCATTAGTGAAAGTTCTTAGACTAGTTGATGGAGAGGAGAAACCTTCAATGGGATTTGTTTATAGAGAGCTACTAAAGACAAAGGATGTCATTATAAAGACGTTGAAGAGGGAAAGTGACAATATGCCAATCTTGAACATTATTGATGTAAAGGGCAAGGATTGAGTTGATAGCCCACTTCACACAACATCTTATCTTTTGAATCCGTTTTACTTCTTCAAGAATCCAAAAATCAAAGATAATCAATTGATAACTAATAATGTGATTCTTTGTGTTGAAAAGTTCTTTTCCGATGCTCAAATGCAACATCATGTGATAAATGTTGAGTTGCAAAGATACACTCAAAAAGAAGGTGCATTTGGAAGAAAACTAGCAGCATGTGGATGTGAGAACAATACTTCAAGTTACAATCCGGGTATGTTAATATTATTATTCTTTTTCTTGTTAACATACCATATGTACATATTATAATATTTTTATCTCTTTCTTTTGCATTTACTAGTTAGTTGGTGGGACTTTTATGGCAATGAAACACCAAACTTGAAATTAATGGCAAAGAGGATCCTTGGTTTGACTACTAGTTCATCCGGTTGTGAGAGAAATTGGAGTGTCTTTGAAGGGGTAAGTACTAATTAAATAATTACGTTTATGCATTTTAGTTATTACTTTAGTAGTTATTTGATAATTTAAATTAGCATACTAAAATTTTTAAACTTCTTTATGTAGGTACACACCAAGAAGAGGAAACGCTTAGATGCCACAAGGATGAAAACCTAGTTTATGTTCAATTTAATGCAAGGTTGATGAAAAAAAAGAAGATGAAGGATAAATTAGAAACTTTATTAGCAAGTAATGCTACTAATACACAATCTTGGATTGTTGATGGTTGTGATGATGAGGAGGAAGTTGACAATATATTACCATCTACAAGAGATAATAGAAATTCTCAAGTCGAAATAAGGGAGCCCGATGAAGATGATTTCGTATCAGATGGCACTGAAGATGACTTGAATGAAGAAGAGGAGATTGAATTAGAATCTGATAAAGAGCTAGACTAGATTTAGAATTTTTTTTTGTCAATATTCTTGTTTAATCGAATCGTAGGAATTGATCATCAAGTAGCTGTAGTATTTATGATTTTGAGCAAATGTTTTTGTTGAAAATTTGAAAAATATATATAAATTTGAAATAATTGTCTTATTGTAGTATTTATAATTTGAGTAATTTTTTTTNCTCCAACTCTTTGATTATTGGCCCGGAGTTGGGATTAGTTTCGGTCTCCTCGACCTCTCCTCCTTCGATCAAGAAGAGTTGTGATGTTTTACATTTATGGCCAGGGGTGAATCGATCATTACAATTGAAGCAAAGACCCTTTTCTCGCCTCCGCTTCATCTCTTCCCACGATATGCTCTTAACCGGAGAGCTAACAACTTGCCTTGGTGCTGTAGGTGTTGATATAGGTGATGGAGCTATGATAAATCGTGTTTGCAGGATAGTTCGCGTCACTTCTTCTCGTGCTTGCCTTATTTTCCTCGTGAGCTGGTCATCCTTTATCCTAGCTACCCCTATAGCATCACGTAGAGTCTTCGGTTTAGCCATTCGTACTTCATCTGCGATATCCTCACGTAGACCTCCAAGGAAGGTGCCAACAAGAGCCAGTTGGGGCCAGTCAACTCGATTTGCCAACCTTTCAAACTCATGCTGATAATCCCTAAGTGTCCCAGTTTGTTTTACTTTGGATAGTGCTTCGTCAAAGCACTCATACGCCGTAGGGCCAAAACGAGCCATGAGTTCGTGCTCAAATAAACTCCAGATAATCTCCATCCTTTCATCTCTTTGTACTCTCTTGAGCCATTGCCACCATTGGTTGGCTTCTCCCTCTAAGTGGAAGGATGCCAAAGCAACCTTCTGCTCCTCTGCAGTTTCCTGAAATTCAAAGTATTGAGAGACTCGACTAAGCCACTCGGTCGGATCATCACCAGAGAACTTTGGAAAGTCCATCTTAGTGAATCTTGTGTGGTTGAAGTGGCGAGACCCTTCCTCTTTGTTGGACCCTCCATGAGACGAAGAGCTCTCTTCGCCATGAAGTTGAGATGATTTTTCCCAAGAAACGAAACACAGATAATGAGTCAAGGACCTCCTTCAGCTTCTCCTCCTTTCCTCGCATCTGAGCTCTTGTTTCCCCAGATTCAATGGTTGATCGCTGCAAGCCATCACGCACCTCCTGCAAGTCGTACTCCAACCTGTCAAGCCTTTCCTTGTTGGTTCCCATTTCGCAACCTGACTTTGATACCAGAATTGTTGGAACACAGTAAATGAAACAAGCTGAAAATAGTGAACTGCAATAGAAATTCTCCAATTTGGGTTGGAGACAAACCACAATTACAATTAATTCCAATTCAATGCCTATTCTACTGTCCAATGACTTATTTATAGCTTAGACTCCTAAACAAACTCCCTAATTTCAAGCCACGTTCTCCTTCACTTGGACCTGAAGACAAGGAACAGATAAGATATCCCCAGTTACTACCAACAACTTTTGGATTGTCCCTCCTGTTTCTGCGGCTAACAGAGCCAAATATTTGGGATTGGGCTTCCTTATTCTTCGAGGCCCACCATTATTTCTTAAGATGTAAACGTATTACTATTTCATGTTATTTCAATGTCAATTTAGGGTCCCGTAAACATAGAATGTCTAACTTTTCCGCTTTAATTTGTTTTCATGTGGCACTTATATAATTATCAAAGACTATTCACTCGTTAATCTCGTCCATTGAATATAACTCAGTAAATGATGGTACGATAATAAACACCACAAACACATCGAGATTTGTTATTGAAAGAATCTTGAAAATAGATCATTATCGAGTCTTTGTGGGTTTGGAATTTTAAGTGTGTAAGTTTTAGTCTCTGTTTGGTGAAAATTAAAATCAAAATTTTAGTAAATTTTGATGAAAGTTAGTAAAATATTTGATTAAAAAGTTGTGGATCGCATACAATGTATGATTAAAATTAGTCGTTGACTTTAACTTCAATTAATGCCATGTTTGACTCACATTTTTTTTTTCAAAAAATATATTTTTAAACAGTGATTTGATATCATTTCAACCACACATTCTTCAATAAAATAATATTATTCGCAAATTCAAAAATTTTTCTTATTTTTTTAATCACACATTTCCCTTCAATACACTATTAAAAATGCATTCTTATTAAAATAATGTAGCTCAAACAAGGGCTAAAATTTGAATTTTAAATTGTACCAAACAAGAACTTAAGGCCTGTTTGATAGACTTCTTTTTCCATGGAAAATATTTTCCATCAAACTTGTATGTTTGATGGCCAAAATTTTTCATGGAATTGGTTTGCCAATTAACCCACACGTAACCACATTTTCTTGATTTTTAAGGAATTGATTTTCCTTTGGTTTTGGGTGGGAATTGGGTTTTCTAGCTTCCTTTTTTTAAAAAAAAAAAAATAATAATAAATTTGGCAATGGAAACAAATTTTATCCACAATTATAATAAATTCGATCACTTTAATTGACAATTTTCATGAAAAACAAAGTCAAATAAACACCAAAAAATCCAAATTTCAACATTTTCAGGTGAAAAATTGTACTAATCAAACACATTTAATTGACAATTCTCAGTAAAATAAACTCTAGACAATTCAATTTCTTGAAATTCGTTTTCTTTTTATTCAAATTTTATTTTTGCAATCAAATGGACCCTTAGTGATTGTAGTACAGTGAAATTTCTAGGTGGATTTGCAATAACTAGCATTTTTAAGGTGTTTTTAGCCATTACAAAGAATTGTTAAACTAAGGCCTCATTTGGCTTGCAAGACGCTATCGTTTTTCCTACTAAAACACTGACAAGATTAACCATTACCTTTCTTTTGATAAAAGTGAACTAATGGAAAAATTAAAAATTAAAAATAAACATAAAAATAAAAAAAGGATGGCATCATTGAAGATCACCATTGGTCCATTCTACAACCCAGAGCATGACAACTCATATATAACCCCTTAGTGATCATTCTTAAAAAAAAAGGGAAAAAAAGAAAAAGAAAAGAGTTTTGAATAGTATTTCAGGAGAATGTTTGATTAAAAATTAGGAAAATTTATGAATTTACGAATAAAATATTTTATTGTATGAACATATAGTTGAAAACGATCTCGTAAAAAAAAAGTTAAAAAATAATGAGAATCAAACATGGGCAAAATAATCATCTAACTAATCATTATTTCAAAAACTAAGCTCTTATTTAGTTCTCACTATTTTCAAAATATACTTTATTTTCTTTTTATTTTCACCATACATTATTTAATAAAATAATATTTTAAGCAAATCAAAAACTTTTTCTTACTTTTTAATCATACATTTTCTATCGAAATACTATTCCAAAATACATTATTTCAAAAAAAGGGACTTAAAGATGCTCTAAATCTTCGACAATTAAAGAGTACCAAATTCTTGAATTGATCTTCAGTCCCATCTATATAGCTAAGACAACAACTAAAAATCAAAGTTGTCGGTGAATATTATGATCATACTTGGTGTACATCAAATTTGACAGTTTGTCAAGTGGCGGCAAACTGTCATTCATCAATAAAAAGAGAAAGGGTTTTTTCGTCCATAATTTTTTGAAAGTCAATGTCAACAATGATGTTAATGGAAGAATGTACAAATGACAAGATACTAAATATTAAGCAAGATAATATAATCATCTTAAGTGCAAGACCCTCAATGTATGGAACACCTCCAAAATTTAAAATTTACTTATTTTTTAATGTAAAATTATGTTGGCAAGTGATATCAATAAAAAATAAATTTAAATAAAGGCTGATTGTAATTAGCAATATTAAAAATATAATATTTTAGCAAAATTAATTTATCAACTAAAATTTCGTCAATATATAAATTAAACAAAAATATAAAGATTAAATACTAATAAAAAATTTGTTGAGAACAAAATAAATGTTTATATTTTAATTGGTAATAATAATAATAATAATATATAAGTCAGTAACCTATCAAGAAAAAAAAAAAAAGAAAGAAAAAAAAGAAAAGAATAATAATGAGAATAAAATTTTGTAAATGACACTGACGACTTCCATTTACGATTCTCATAAATATCATCAACATTATCGTCGATAACTACTGATAGAGACGTGTCGTTACTATCACGACCTGTCATTGTCAATAATTTCATATGAATAAACAACAGATATTGATTCCAGTTAGAATCGCAAGCGGTCATACCATCGATCATCGCCAATAAAATTTTTGTCACTGATTATTTCGTTAAATTAATTATTTTATTATTATTATTCTCGAAAATGCTCAATTGTAATTGTGTCTCATGGTCCCAAATTGCTTGAGATGACTCTGCTTAGTCGTGTTCTTGGTATCCCATAATATATACTTAGTGAAGGTTTAATGGTTAATTATTATGCTGGAACTCGGGCATTGCCCGAATCCTAGTGTTCAAGTCATTACTTAATTGCTCCGTGACTACAAAAATCACCAATAAGACCTCGTTGCATCTCAAGTAACGGTAAACATTCTGAAACTAACATTTGATTGGGGAAGCTAAAGCCTAAAAACTTAGTTCTCCTAATCAGAAAATTATTCTATACTTTTTAGGTCAAATGAAATAACTAGATTATGGAATTTTAACAATAGAATAACGAGACATAAGAAATCACAATTCATCTCTCTTCTTTTTCTTCCACCTGTGATTGTCCTCCTCAAGAAAAAGAGTTACATTGCCTTATTATTTTTCCCCCCGACGATTTGCATCTTAAAAAAATATACATATGCAAAAAAATGTGTTTCGCGCGGGTTAGTCGCTAACAATTAAAAGGATCAGACGATTGTGTAAGGGACAAATTTCTTGAGACAAAGTCTCAAAAAGGGGCGTTCTTTTATTAGCGATGACTTTACAATTGGAAATTAAAAATAAAGTGTCTCCAAGGGGTGCAAACACACGAGTTACTGAAAAAAGTGTTTAAATTTAAGTTAAGGAAATTAAAATTACATGTTTTCTGTTC